TGTCCCTTGCTTGTGTACACTCTCCTTCCTTCCTTTCCTCCTGTGAGGGACCTAAGGTGGATTTCACTTTTTAATCTTGCCACTACGGGAGTTTAAACATTTAATTGTAAATAAATGCACTTACATGCATTTGTTACTTTAACAACACACGCACAAAATTAAATAAACAAAAACTTTAATATGCTGGACAGTAGAACATAGCATATATCTTCAAAAAGATAATTGCTTCTCCTTTGCAAAGCCAAGGCCACAATTGTGGATTTAGAGCTATAAAAATGTCCATGGAATAAACAAATACTTGGGCATTCACAAGAAGAGGGGGGAAAACAGGAGCCTTCTCTCCTTGTTTCAAAATGATTTAGCAAGAGTAAATGGTGACTAGAGAGGGAAACACAGAAATAAATGAAGGTCAAACAATACATAAGTAAGACAAATACATAGACCTGCACCAAGGACACTAAATGATGGGCGTTTTTTGCAACACTAAAAAAATGAAAGAAAGAATATTTAATAGCAATGTAATATATTTACAGGCAAAGAAACAGGGGTTTATTTACATTCTTTACTGTGCAAATCATTTGCAGTATTTCCAGGTATAGAACACAACTATACCCTTCATAAAGAAATATACCGGTACTTAAAAGCATACTGTTACATGAGCATACACAAGAAACCACAAAGATAATGTTATCCACCTATAGTGCCATAACTCTGCTGTGAATTTGGACTCTATTTTCATTATTATATATGAGCAAACAAAAGCTGACTCCCCAGTTGTCATAGTTGTTTAAATGGCCTGTCCAATAAAAGTTTAATCTCCAAGTAAAATTAAAATAATTGCATTGCAATCTAAAAGTGAGATAATTCAATCATGAAAAAGCAATAAAGTAAGTCAAAATCTTAGAACTGTATTGATATTAAGCTTTCTATCACTTATATCACCAAACAGACTATATAGACAGGAGCACCTCCATAGCAAGACCACAGATTATATTATTTTCACATAAATACTCTTCTGCCAGAATATAATTAATAGCCATTAGTGCAAAATCTGGTGGCCAGATTATTGAACAAGGGGACATCTACACAGGCACTTTATTCGGAAGATGGGCAAATCAGCTCCATGGTGGCTTCATGATAGATACAGCTGATTCTGAGCTAACGTGTTAACAAAATTCAGGAGTTGCTCTGAAGTTTTCCCAAGAATCCATAGCAAATTGAAACAGAAATTTACATATTCCCTGATCTCAGACAAACCATGAACATAGGATGGATTTTATCACCCTCCTTCTGTTCTCATCATAGCAGCGGCTACTGATGGCAATTGAATTAACAGTTGAACAGACTGCCTCAAAGGATGGCGATATCTCCTTCTTGGGAATTTCTAACAAGATTGGATGGTCATATCTCAGAAGTGCTTTAGTTGTTTGTTCTTGGATGGCACAATTTGGACTAAATGATATTTGCAGTCCCTTCTAACCTTAACATTTTATAATCACTCGCAATCATGGAACCCAAACTACAAGAGAGGAGATTCCATCTGAACATGAGGAAGAACTTCCTGACTGTGAGAGCCATTCAGCAGTGGAACTCTCTGCCCCTGAGTGTGGTGGAGGCTCCTTCTTTGGAAGCTTTTAAACAGAGGCTGGATGACCATCTGTCAGGGGTGATTTGAATGCAACATTTCTGCTTCTTGGCAGGGGGTTGGACTGGATGGCCCATGAGGTCTCTTCCAACTCTTTGATTCTATGATTCTATGAACCCTTCTATGACCAGCTTCAGTTTCCATTGAAAAAGTTTAGAAGGAAGGCTGGAACACATTGCCACTCTAAACCAATGGTATTCACCAAACTTTTAAAAACTGTCAATTAACTGGATGGCTTATCAAATTAAGGGCAGTAAAGTCCATTGAGCAAAGCAGGGAAAAAATCCAAGTTAAGCCCCTTAATGTGCCTCAGTGAGCACCAAATCTAAACCACATTGCATAACAAAATTGGCTCCACAGAATGTGAAGTGGTTTATAGGCACCCACACACAAGTGCTTTGTATGATTCAGAATGCAGGGGCAGCAGACCGCCAAAACACATCCCAAAGGCATAGCTGGACATCAATAAGGCTAACTGACCTCCTGGAACTGATTACTTCCACTGCTAATGGTCACTTTCCCCTCTCTCCCCCATCCCATATGGCTTCAGAGCACTAGTCTACATCTCAACCAGTAATTTGGGGGGGGGGGGGCACCTGTATTCTCCAGTGGCTGTGAAATAATAGATACTGCAGATTCCAAAACTGGGTTTGGGGCGCTTTCCATGGTTCATGCAAACACCTTCATGGCATCAAATCTGTTGCACACATATCATTCTAATCATCTACACAGTGAAATAGGTTTCTCCCAAATTAGTTCCAACCCAAGCTAAGAGGTCACTGTAGATAAGCCCTTTGCCTTTTTTCAATTATTGTAAAACAGTTAAGTGGATTGCATTTTGCTAGAATCTGTAGGTTTATTTCTAATAGCAAGTTGCTTTCAAAACACACAGTGGTCTGGTATACATCTTGATAAAATGTTAGCCAGGAACGTAATCGCTGTTCTTGATCTTCTGCAATGTGGAGGATATTGTGGTATTGTACTACAGTTAAACCCACAGCTTGTGCTTCTAGACTGCACAGAAGTGGATGGATATTCCCTTGGTCAGTCATTACAGATTCCTAGGATTGCTATTTTTCTAATGCATTGGTTTGTTCACAGAGATTTAGCACTTTCAAGTGGTCTCACTGTGGTTTTGTTAAACATTAAGAACAGTATATATGTTGAGTGTTTCCAAGTCTTTTCCCAATAATGGTGTCACTAAAGCAAACCTATTATGGGATTTTCTTGGTAAGATTTTTTTTGGGGGGGGGGGGCGGTGGCGAGTTGTACCTTTGCCTTCCTCTGAGACTAAAAGTCACCTAGTGGTTTGCATGGCTGTTTGGGGATTTGAAACCTGTTGCAATGATTGTGCACCTTTATGTGAACTCCATCATATAGTGTCCCAATCATAATGTTCATGACCAGTCAAATCCTGATCTTCCAGAATCGAATCCAGTACTCAAACTACTATCTCACACTGGTTCTTGCCAGAGTCTTTAGAGCTACGATATAGGCAAAAGCATCAATTTCTTCCTCTTGTTGGGTTCAAATCAAATGAAGTTTAATCCTAGATAAGTGTATGTAGGTGCACACTCCTTACAGTCCTATCTCACCTGTGTCCTATGTACAAGTAAGTTCCATTCAGCTTATAAAGAATGGTAGCTTGAAAATGTGCTTTAGGGTTGAAATACAGGGCAGAGCTCTTGTTCCTACTGATTATGCAGAAGAGATCATTTCAGCACATGAAAAAGTGTAATAGCAACCTCCTGTAATTTTCTATTGCTGATAAAGAAAAGGAGTTATGTTTATAAACTGGAACTGGGAAAAAACTTTTTAATCAAAATGGTGAAGCATCTGTTTTTAATAGGTTGGTGTTAATCACCATCAAGTCAACTTCAACTTATGGAAAACTGTGAATGAGGGACCTCCAGATTCAGGACTATAGCGTCCTTGTTTGATTATAATAATTTATAATGTAGTATTGTCTTTTCCTATCGCCTTCTACCTTACCAAACATCATTGTCTCTTCTGGTGAGTTTCATATATTTTCATGTCCAAAGTATGATGGGCTCGATCATCTTAGGTTTTAGAGAGAGTTAAGTCTCGATTAGCTCTGGGACCCATTTATGGGTTGTTTTTACAGTCTACTGCACCCAAATATCATTTCTATAACACCACATTTCAAACTGGACAATTTTCTTCCTATCAGCTTTTTTCACCAACATAGCTAGAAATGATAAATATGATGGTATGGCTACTCCTAACCTTAGTATTTAGTTATATGGCTTTACACTCCAGGATCTTATCTAGTTCCTTCCTTGCTGCCCTTCCAAATTCTCACATTTCTCTGATTTCTTTACTGGAGTCTTCATTCTGTTTAACCAGATTTAAAAAATCTTGACATATTTCAAAGTTTTAATTATCAACTTTAAATTTCTGTAAATAATCTGTGGTCATTGCTTTTGTTTTCTTATAATTTCTAAACCTGCCATTATGCTTTCTTCTTCCTTGATTTTCTTCAGTATTTTTACTTTAATTTAATTTGCATGCCACTTTTCTCCTGGAATGGAACCCAAGGGGCTCAGAAATGATTTTGATGAAAACCTATACATATTTCTTATAAAAAATTAAGAACATCTGAACAAAACTATTTTTAAAAAATACAAAAGCCAAAATCATAAATAAATAAAGTACACATCTCTTGGGAGTGATTGAATATTAAAAGGCTGCTTGAGCGAAATGAAATCAGGGTAAGGGCCAGCCTCACCTCCCATGGACGGTCATTCAAAAGAATAGGAGCAGCAACTGAGAAGGCTCTTTCTTGTGTCCTCACCAAATGATCCTGTGGGGGTCACAAAATTCCTCACCTGTGTCATTTCCTCCTCCTGCCACTGCCTAGTACATTATTACATTAAAATGGATGAAAAGTTGTGTTCATTATGGAAAATAATAATAATAATCAAAGGGCACATCTTTCATATGTGAAAACAGAAGTCATTTTAATAGCTTCAGAAAAATGCTGGTGGATATAGTAGTAGAGCAGATGTTACACTATTATTATTAAAATCAAGATAAACTAAAATAAGGTGAAAATTGATAAAATGGTATGTGGGTATGTTATTCATTCTCGAATTCCCTGTAGCTCAAAATGACCTACCTATTATGCAGCCCACAACATTATTTATAGCAAGTGAAGGTTACTCTGTGCAGTGATAAATTGCTTTCCCCTCAGAGAAAAGAAAATAATAGTTTACAGGTTCAATACTGCAAACCTTATTAAGTAAAACCTGTCTGTACAGAGTAATAAATGCAGTATTAGTAAAGTCACTTTCTTAAATTAAGTCCCCAAATCAGAGAATAGAACAGGACTGACCTTGGATCGTGGTGGTGCTCGGATATACCATTTACAATCTACTGCTTCATTGTCAGAAGCTTTCCCTTCTTTTCCAATTTGCACAGATTCCACAATTCCTTCAGATCCTCCCATCTCAAACTCACAAACTGAGAAATGACAACAATACAACAAAATCAAAAGATCAAGCTCAAGCAATAAGATAAAAAGTTTTAAATATGCAATATACTGCTGAGTGTTGTGGAACATTGAACATACCAACCTGGCAATGGTTTCAAAACACCAAGGTCTTTGAAGTCTGGATCTTAAAGTGAAATGGAGAAAGAGGAAAATTAGCCTTTACCCTCCAAAATAAAATCTAATTACAAACTAAAATAATGTTGGGGAGCTGAGAGTATTAGTGTGCATTCATTTTGAAGATCAAATTGACAGTCTAAGGATAATAAAATACATTCATTCTCGAATTCTCTGTTGCTCAAAATGACCTACCTATTATGCTATTTGAATTAGATGTATTTGTTTTAGGGCTTTTTTCATTTCTAAGAAACCTTTTTAAATCAAAAAATTATTCTCATCAAAATAAAATATACCAAAACAAAGCTTTGATTAAGGTTGGTGGCTACATAAAAAGGTTAACCCAAAAAATTCTTTTAAACAATCTAAATATCTATTTGAAACAAGGTTGATGTCCTATAAATAGTGTATATAATGCATTTTTATACATGTCAAAGCTACATTACTTGCTAGAGTTGCATGAACACTTGAGTATGACATGGAGTACAACCTTGCAGCAACAGAGACTCTGAACTGCATCTTGAAGAGAACAAGAGGTGCACACCTCAGTCCTTCAGCCAGTATAACAGATATGATTCCAAAGGAAGAAGGATGAAAAGATCATGAACACTCTCTAAAAATGCAAGTGAAAATCTTTGGAAGAAACAGGTGCATGAATGTAACTATGGAGTGGCAGGTAAGGGTAGTCCTTCCAAAATTAGGCATTCCACATGATTTTTTTAAAATTCCCAAATGGTTAGTATTGTAGTAACTTACAATTTCACTAGAACATTTAGAAATAGAGTTTAGGCATCCAAAACAAACAGTCACCAAGGGAATGCAAGCACAGCAAGCAAATGTTTTGAGGCGTGAAGTGTCTTCAGTGCCTCACTTTATGCAATGTTAGATTTTTGGGGACTTAACGAAAATGTTTTGGGTATCTAAATTAGGTGTCTTTGGAGTCTCTCTCTATAGATGATAAGCCTCCTATTCTCCTATTTTCTTGAAGAAACTTTTGCTCAAAACTGGATATTTCTCAATATCTGCTGTTAATAAAAAGGACAGCATGATGTTGCTGCAAAGACTTCAGTAACAGTAATACTGAGTTAAAAGTTTTGCATCCCTGCCATTCTTTACTTTTCTTTACATAAGAAGCTAGTATCGTTAGAAATAGCATCTCCCCCATATGGAATTATTTCCTGCCTCCCCTAAAGTGCAAGTTTGCAAAGGCTGAGAACTTTCAAAAAATTACTGTGCGATATTTTCCTGTTTCAGATGTTATTTGGTATTCATAGTTAACTTGTATAATTATGAGGAGTCAGCTAAGATTTAAATGTTGCATGATGTTCTGGGTGTTCTTTCCTAGATTTAATCACTCCAATGAGTTTATGCTAGCATTCCTAGATTATTTAACCAATTGGCAGAAAGAAAGAAAGAAAGAAAGAAAGAAAGAAAGAAAGAAAGAAAGAAAGAAAGACAAGCAAAAGAGAAAAACTCCGCAAAATATAAATAAATACAGATTGCACAATCTATTTTGTAGGCATAATTAATATTTCACCTTCATAAACAGCCATTCCTTTCCCCCCAAAATTGCTGACCTAGAAAGTTTGACATAAATCTGTTGGGACTCAGCCTACTAAAATTGATGTTTAATTCTTGTTAATTGGTTCAATGAGTTTATTAACTTATTAAATTGTGTTTTTACCTATTTGTATTAGGTTGCAATATCATAGCATTGGAAATAATATTTTGAAATATGCAAACAGATAATGGTTGAATAGGCAAGGACAAGAACACTAAGAACATAATATTTGATATATTCTGAAATGGTGATGGATTGTGAGATTATTCTATCTGTGTCTGCAATAATAACATATTAAAAAAAACAGAGGCACAGAAAATGCCCACATGCCATTTATACTTGTGTATGTATTGGGTAATCACCAAAATCAGAACTAAAACATATACAAACAATTACTGAATGTAAACCTTATTCACATAGTTTTACACATTTATTATTTATTCAAGTTTTAAGTGCTTGTATTGTAGTTAAGTATTCCAGAAGTGTTAGGATAGGGATTTGTGTTTATTGTGTCTTTGCATACTTGTCTTTTGTCTTTTACTGTTGATATGGTCAGATGATTAATCAATAAACAAATCTATCTACAAACATAATTCTTCAGAAATGTACTGTACTTTTAAATATTCTTTACTATTTTAAATGCATTTTAATTTGTTTTTTCCCCCTTTTAATACAACAACATTTTATTATGGTCCAAAGACCCTTACTGCACTTTAAACATACAGGGTATGCAGGCAATGAGATTAAAACATCCAGTTGATTGAACACACAAATGGATAAAATTTGCAAGAGTAAAAACTGCTTAAAATACATGTTGACTAAGACATTAAAAGACAAAAGATTTTGAGGTCTTATCAAGGCCCTTGACAGGGACAGCAAATTTCAGATCAGATGTGGCAACCTGGGCCAACTCTCTGGTGAGATATTCATGTCCAAAGGGGTACATCAAGGATGCATCCTTGCCCCCACCCTATACAACATATTCATAAATGATATGGAGGATAACCTTCTGTACTCCAATGGTCACTTGCCCAAGCTTGAAACTAGAAGAATCCCCTTACTGCTTTATGCAGATAAAGTTGCCATCATCTCGTGCTCCAGGGCAGGTCTTAATTACCTTTTAATAGGACTCCTTGTTTATTTTTTTAAACTTTTAATGATTAGGTTTTTGGCTATACTTTGTTTTACTTTTATGGTAAGCTTTTTTGGATCTTGGATAAATAATTAAATAAATGAAGAATGAGTAGATGGATTCTACTTGTTAATAACTACATTAATCTCTTCAAGTACTAATTATTCAGGAATGTGTGGATACTTGCTTAGTTAGTGAATGAGGGGATGTTTTTTGTTAATAATGATATCTTTGTTAGTGTGTGTGTATGTGCGTGCAATTTAATGTTAAACTCATTAAACCAATTAAATTCCATATTAAATTACAATTTTATGTAAACTGTTGCAATTTTGTCTTTGTGCAACAATGAAATGTTTGCATTGATGAGGCACTGAGTTGCAAACCTCACTTAAAGGTTCTCTCAAAACTTCATGATCCCTTTCTACCATTGAAATACTTATTCCTGTTAAGGATGCATGCATTTTTGGCAAAAAAGTATCAAGAATTATAAACCATTGAGGAAGATACCCTGTATATAATTAATGAACATATACCAGGCAATCTATATGTATTGGATATCTAGAGCAGGGGTCCTCAAACTAAGGCCCGAGGGCCGGATGCGGCCTTCCAAGGTCATTTACCCGGCCCTCGCTCAGGGTCAATCTAAGTCTGAAATGACTTGAAAGCACATAACAACAACAACTATCCTATCTCATCAGCCAAAAGCAGGCCCACATTTCCCATTGAAATACTAATAAGTTTATATTTGTTAACATTGTTCCTCATTTTAATTATTGTATTGTTTTTAAGTGTTTATTACACTACAAATAAGATATGTGCAGCGTGCACAGGAATTCATGTTTTATTTTTCAAATTATAATCCGGCCCTCCAACAGTTTGAGGGACTGTGACCTGGCCCTCTGCTTTAAAAGTTTGTGGACCCCTGATCTAGAGAATGCTGATATTTCTTTCTTGAAGACTGACCAAAATGAATAAGAGAACTAGATAATTCTGAATAAGATTGTTAAGACATTATATAGACAGAAATGTAGCTATACCTAAAGGGCAGAAGGTTACACCAAATAGAAATGGCAATGCAACATATGGACGGAAAAATCAAGGAGAAACCTCTAAAGATATGAAAGGCCACCTCACTCAGACAAAATATCTTTGGACCACTTTGTATAACCTTGCCACTTCCTCTTTCTTTTCTCCACCGGCATGCAGACATACATAGCAGGAGAACTGATAACAGGACATCTTAAGGATACTTTTGAGCATTAAAGAGAATTCTTCTAGGTGCAAAGGTACTTGTAGGTGGGGGCCTTTCAAAGGTATCTAAAATATCCTAAAGACCCTTGACCACATCAAATTTTATAAACTGAGCACTGTCAGCCCTGTTTGGTATTTGATCAGTCCTAGGTAGTGCTTGGATAGGAGAACCCAGCAAATACCAAGTGCTGTAGACTATGTTCCAGAAGAAGGAATGGTCAAAAACCCCTTTGAGCATTCCTTGCCTAAGAAAACCGTGTGAAATTAATGAGTTTCTAGAAATTGACAGACGGCTAACAAAGCGCACTGTGAACTATCCGAGGTCCCAATTCTTGCTTACTTGAACCTCCCATAACATTGTTAGTAGGCATGCCTTGGCCAACATGATTTCACACTACATCAATTTGACTGAGTTTGGCCTAATCTAATTGATTAGAGCTGATTTGCCATAACTTGACAGACCTGGCTATATTGTAACCCGACGCATGCCCACCTCACATACATGACAGTATGTGGCTCATTTCATCATGGATCTGTTCAATTCAGTTTACTTCTCATTCTGTGGACATTAGGTTCTTATGAAACAGGATACAGGGTCATAATCCCAAGTGTTAGGCCCAATTGGTTTTACGTAAGTGTTGATGTAACTGTCAGCAATTAATTCAATTTGTTTAATTAGAACAAAGCATTGAATTTATGCTTTAATACTTTGAAAGGGTTTTCTATAAAAAAAACTAGGGAAGGAAAGAGGGAAGAAAGAGAAGACAAAGTAAGATGCTGAAATTTCAAAACTCCATGGGAAAGAAAGTGGTACAAGAAAAACCTGAACTGAAATCCAAATTAAAAGTATGTATATATGTCTGTGTATATGTGTGTGTATGAAGATTGTTCCTAAAGTGTTCTAATACAGCTAGGAAATAAGTGAATTATATAAAGTTAGATTCATACCTTATCTAATACACTAACAAGTGGCTTATGTTGAGTATACTGGGATATAATTCAGACTAAGCAAACAAGATTGCACTGCAAAGTCATTATTCCAGAAGGAAACAGAGGCAAAGGGACT